TATCTGACTAGAGATTACATCCATACATTGATTGTATGTAAAAATATAAATAAATCTCATTGAGAAATTAATATATGTTCAGTTATGTACATATATGTGAATATGAATGATATTTTATATAAAAGATATTAATATTAAGGGACATTATTAAGGGCACAAGAGCAAACTATCCCACTACGTAGGAAAGATAGGAAGTATAACAAGAGACCACCCTTGCTTAACCAGGAGATCTTCAATGATCTAAAACTCAAAAAAGAGCCTACAAAAAGTGGAAACTCAGTCAAATTACAAAGGGTGAATATAAACAAATAACACAAGTATGTAGGGAAAAAATTAGAAAAGCCAAGGCACAAAACGAGATCAAACTAGGTAGGGACATAAAAGGAAACATGAAAACATTCTACATATACATTAGAAGCAAGAGGAAGACCAAGGACAGAGTAGGCCAGTTACTCAATGAGCGGGGGAAAGACAATAACAGAAAATGTGGAAATGGCAGAGGTGCTTAATGACTTCTTTGTTTCGGTTTTCACCAAGAAGGTTGGTGGCGATTGGATGTCTAACATAGTGAATGCCAGTAAAAATGAGGTAGGATCAGAGTCTAAAATAGGGAAAGAAGAAGTCAAAAATTACTTAAACAAGAGATGTCTTCAAATCACCAGGGCCTGATGAAATGCATCCTAGAATACTCAAGGAGCTGACTGAGGAGATATCTGAGCCATTAGCAATTATCTTTAAAAAGTCACGGAAGATGGGAGAGATTCCAGAAGACTGGAAAAGGGCAAATATAGTGCCCATCTATAAAAAGGGAAGTAAGGACAACCCGGGGAATTACAGACCAGTCAGCTTAATTTCTGTACCCAGAAAAATAATTGAGCAAATAATTAAGCAATCAATTTGCAAACCCCCAGAAGATAATAAGATGATAAATAACAGTCAGCATGGATTTGTCAAGAACAAATCGTGTCAAACCAACCTGATAGCTTTGTTTGACAGGGTAACAAGCCTTGTAGATGGGGGGAAGTGGTAGATGTGGTATATCTGGACTTTAGTAAGGCTTTTAATACTGTCTCGCATGACCTTCTCATAAACAAACTAGGGAAATACAACCTAGATAGAGCTACTATGAAGTGGGTGCGTAATTGGTTGGAAAATCATTTCCAGAGAGTAGTTATCAGTGGTTCACAGTCATGCTGGAAGGGCATAACGAGTGGGGTCCTGCAGGGATTGGTTCTGGGTCTGGTTCTGTTCAATATCTTCATCAATGATTTAGATAACGGCATAGAGAGTATATTTATAAAGTTTGCAGATGATACCAAGCTGGGAGGGGTTGCAAGTGCTTTGGAAGTTAGGATTAAAATTCAAAATGATCTGGAAAAACTGGAGAAATGATCTGAAGTAAATAGGATGAAATTCAATAAGGACAAATGCAAAGTACTCCACTTAGGAAGGAACAATCAGTTGCACACATACAAAATGAGAAATGACTGCCTAGGAAGGAGTACTGTGGAAAGGGATCTGGGGGTCATAGTGGATCACAAGCTAAATATGAGTCAACAGTGTAACGCTGTTGCAAAAAAAGCAAACATCATTCTGGGATGTATTAGCAGGAGTATTGTAAGCAAGACAAGAGAAGTAATTCTTCTGCTCTACTCCATGCTAATTAGGCCTCAGCTGTAATATTGTGTCCAGTTCTGAGCACCACATCTCAGGAAAGATGTGGAAAAATTGGAGAAGGTCCAGAGAAGAGCAACAAAAATGATTAAAGGCCTAGAAAACATGACCTATGAGGGAAGATTGAAAAAACTAGGTTTGTTTAGTCTGGAGAAGAGAAGACTGAGAGGGGACATGATAACAGTTTACAAGTCCACAAAAGGTTGTTACAAGGAGGGAGAAAAATTGTTCTTCTTAACCCCTGGGGATAGGACAAGAAGCAATGGGCTTAAATTATAGCAAGGGCGGTTTAGGTTGGACATTAGGAAAAACTTCCTAACTGTCAGAGTGATTAAGCACTAGAATAAATTGCCCAGGGAGGTTGTGGAATCTCCATCATTGGGGATTTTTAAAAGCAGATTGGACATACACCTGTTATGGATGGTCTGATAATACTTAGTCTTGCCTTGAGTTCAGGGGACTGGACTAGATGACCTCTTGAGGTCCCTTCCAGTTCTATGATTCTATGTTCTATGTTTATATACTAAATATAAATAGGCTTAGAAGGATTAGACTGGTAGCTGTCAGTAAACATCAATTTCACTGCACACACACAAATTGACAAAAAACATTTTAATCGATAATAATTGAAATTTACAGGCAGGCAAAGTAAGAAAAATGCTGTTTGAGAATCTTTTGGATAATTTAATAGTTTAATTTAAGATATTTACTTTGTATATTTTGACATGTGATGCTGACAATTTGTTTTAATGATTACAAACCTTTAACTTTTTGAAGCTCAACATTTATTGTCATTAAATAATTATGTCTGACTCCCCATTATTTCTCACAACTGTGAAAAATTAAATAGGTAAAAAGAAGAAAAAAGATTAAAACTCATAATTTTGCACGACTGTGAACATTTGCATTGATAAAATATTGTAAAATTCTTAAAATAAACATTGATATTATCCATCTAAATTACAAAAAAACCCGAATTCTTCCATGCCTAAATATAAATACATCTTGATAAGTAATTGAGGTTTTTACTTTATCTAATCTATCTGAATGATATGTATGTAATATTCATAGAAAGAGGGATTATGATTTAGAATTATAACTATCACACTCACATTCCTAGAAAGTTGACAGGCACCCTAAGAAGACTGAGCAGTTCAGAAATCAGGTTTTGGTAGAACAGAATAAAGATCATTTTTTAATCTACAGCTATTTTCCTCAAACAGTAGTTACTATTTCCATAAATAGTGTTTCCATAAGCTTTCATATATCACAATATCATATTCAAATATTTATATTGCAAAAAATAAAAAATAACTTCTGGGTCTCCAAACAAAACTTCTTTGAAAGAGGGAATGGTTGAGATGTTCAAAGCCCAGTAAGGAATTTAGGATAAAATTTTCAAAAGCACCTAAATTACTGAAGTACCTAAGTCTCATTTTCAAAAATGATTTAGGCATTTAGGAGCATAAGCCCTGGTCTATACTATAGAGTTAGGTCGATGTGAGGCAGCTTACATTGGCCTAACTCACTAAAATGTAGTTCCCATTGATGTAATTTGCCCACTACACCGACGTAATAACTCCTCCTCTGTGAGCGGTGTAGCTCTTATGTCAATGTGGTTAGGTTGATGCAGTGTCAGTGTAAACACTGCATTGCTTACATTGACTGTAGCTGCCTTTCAGAAGCCCTCCCACAATGCCCCACACTGACAGTTAAACCAGTACAAATGCTCCTGGTGAGAATCTGCACCGCTGACACAAGAAGCATAGTGTGGACTTGCAAAAGTGATTTAATTACTGCTGTGGCTGTATGTCAAGGTGACTTAGGTCGACTTAATTTGGTAGTGTAGATTTGCCCTAAGTGTCATTGAAAGTGACCAAGTGTAATTACTGTGAGGTCACTACAGAAATTTTGTCTCTGATTCATTCTGGCACACAAAAGTTGAAATATCCAAATATGGATTTGGATCCAGCAAAGTCTAGCCCATTTTTCTCCTATATCCCCAAAGTTTTACCTTCTAGATAGACAGCATGTGTAGCCATCCTTTTCCATCAGATAAATCTGTATCCAATGCATTGGAATTTTCAGCGCAATCTGGGGGATTTTTAGATTTACATCTAACATTACAATGTGGTTTAAAGTTAATGGAAGAAGTGTCTTAACTCTGTAAGAGTCCTTTGCACATCTCCACCAAGTGCTGATAAGCTAAAACCACATATAACGTGGTCATACACAGACACTAGACTTCTGTTATGTTCCATTGCAAAATCTAAATATTATACTATGACATTTGGATGCATCTAGAAAGAGCATGATGTCAGATCTGGGTTCTTATGGCTATGCAGATATACAATGCATAGGATACTTACTATACTGTTACATTTCACTATTTTTGCTACGTTTCTATTTAGACAATTCTGTTTAGATTTTTGCAGGGGAGGGGGAGCTGAGGTTAAAAATGAGCAGGATCCAGGTACCAGATATGTGTTTTCCAGTTCTGTTGCGTCAACAGGGCATCAGGGTCTACATTTTACCAGTGATGCAATGTATCATTTGGATTTGGGGGCCACAGTTGCAAAGATCACCTGTTTCAAAGTAGCAGCCCTGTTAGTCGGTATCCGCAAAAAGAAGAGGAGTACTTGTGGCGCCTTAGAGACTAACAATTTTATTTGAGCATAAGCTTTCGTGAGCTACAGCTCACTTCATCGGATGCAGCTCACGAAAGCTTATGCTCAAATAAATTTGTTAGTCTCTAAGGTGCTACAAGTCCTCCTTTTCTTTTTAAAGGTCACCTGGATTCTGCTTTTTCTTGCAGTACTCATGCCCCGGATGCATTGATCTCGTGCAAAAGGAGGAGCACTTGTCATCTCTGGTGCCAAATGAGCGGGGGCCTTGTGTGCTGCGGTTTATGGAAAGGAGCCGAAGCTGTGTGTGTGTGTGTGTGTGGTGGGGGGGGGGGGGTCACTGCAGCTATTCCACGCGCTATTAGGAACAGTGTGTGTGTGTGTGTGTGTGTGTGTGTGTGTGTGTGTGTGTGTGTGTGTGTGTGTGTGTGTGGCGGGGGGAGGGGGGGTCATTCTCCAATGGCTCGCACCGCTCCAGCAGGCAGCGGGGTGTACCAGGGAGAGCAGCTTCGCTCTGCTTGTGAGTCCCAGCAGGGGCGACTCAGCGGCGGGCGCGGGACTCGCCCTCAGAGCCAGCCCGGGGCGCCCTGCTCGGACCCGGCCCTCCGTGGGGGGGTCCCGGACACCCGCGAGCCCCGAGGCAGGGAGCGTGGAGCCCGCGGCCAACCCCCCGCGCCGGGCCGGGTCTCCATGGAGATCCCCCAGGGCCCCGGCACGGCCGCTGCGGTTGCCACGGGAGCCACCGCCGCCGCCGCCGCCGGTCTGAGCTTCCAACGGGCCGGGCCCAACAGCCGCGGGCGGGTCGAAAGTAATCAGCGCCCGCGGGGGAGGGGCTGCGCCGCCGCCTCCCCCGCCCCCGGGACGCGGGCTACATAGGCGGGGCTGGGGGCAGCGGAGCGGCTCGGCGCCCTGGCCAGTGGCTGCCTAGCGGGCAAGGGGCGGCGGCAGCGGCGGCGGGGTCTCCCCGGCTGCGGGGGCTGGCGTGTAATGCGGGGGCGCGGCGGGGCTCCCGGGGCACTAGTGCGCGTTGGGCTCCCCGCAGGACCCCGGCAGTGGCTGGTTCTGCCTGGGCGCTGGCGTCCGTGGGCGCTTGGCCCGGGCATTGCTGGCGGGGCAGGACCTCCTGGGAGCTCGCGAGCCTGTGACCCTCCCGCTCTGGGGCGCCTTGCTTCAGAGTGCTCTGCCCTGGCAGCAAGCAACAGCAAGGAGAGCCTCAGCCCTGCGCCTCCGAGAGCCCCAAGGGCGCCCTCTGGCCGGGGTTACTGTAGCCGCCCACTTTCAGTTGCCTCTTCCCTTGCATCCCTGCTCCCCCCCCCCCCCCCCCCCCAAAAAAAAATTTCCCTGTGGAGCTGCAGCGCTTGTAGGGAGTGGCTCCAACAGGGAAGCTGAGGTATTTTTGGCGGGGTGGCATTAATGAAGGCAAATCTGTCTCACACGGAGTGTGAAAATCTGCTCATGAGTCACAGATTCTAAGGTTAGAAGGGGTCATTGTGATTGTCTCCTCTGACCAGGGTAAGGCAGGCCAGAGACCTTCCATGAAATAATTCCTAGAGCGTATCTTTTAGAAAAACATTCACTCATGATATAAACATTGTCAGTGATGGAGAATCCCCCATGGCCCTTGGTAAATTGTTCCAGTGATTAATGATGAGACCTAGAGGAAGCATCCTGCATTTAGAATAAGAAGCAGTAATGGGCGAGATCTGCACTCCTAGGAGTGGAAAGGGGAATCTAGACTCTTGTCTCTAGAGAGAAATTCGGGTAAACTTGCCTCGGATGACTAACATGCCATTCTCTTCTCTTCTCTTAGCTGTCAGCTGCTGACCTTGAAACAATGCATCACAACGATAAGAGTGGGATCTCCCAAGGTGGAAGTTGGGAGATCCGCCGGGTTGCAGCTGGGCCTTATTCCAACCAAAATCCACCACAGCGGGCTGTGCTTGGGCTGCTGACTGAGAATGGGCAGTGCTTGAGGGCATGTAGCCAGGTAACTTTTTTGCGGGGGAGAACCCCATTGCTCATTGTGGGGTTACACTTATGAGAAGTGTCTTTCAAACGCCCGAGGTGCCTTTTGTTCATGTGTGGATGATACTATTTAAGTCCGATATAACATGGGCAGTTGCTATGGAAGCTTTTCTGGTCTCCAAACAAATGTTGTCAAGGCCCCTGTTATTCCAGCACTGAGTCTCCTCTTACTATGCATCTTAACCAGAGACCTTGAGGAACTATGACCATTTTCTCCTTACCTAACCTGAGTGTTTCTCTAAACCTAGTTCATCTTTTTTTAAACATTACCTTTGTGAACTGATATGTAAACCGTCAAAGGGCATTGCTGGGAATGTTGGTAAACATGAGTTTAAAAAACGTATGTGCAAAACAGGTATCTAAAAATCTGACCAGGAGATATTTAAGTAAGTAAATACCTAACATGATTTCATTCTTCCCCCCCCAACTGACACAAGCCTGATAAATGATCTGACCCTCAGCTTGCACTGGAGGGACACAATACCAACTCTGGCAATTTTATTGCAAATATCATCGTTTTTAATATCTTTCTTGAAGCCCTAGTTCCTGGAATCCCGTGATTACTTGAGAATCTCAGTTCAGCTTTTTTTTAAATATATAAAGGATAAATTTCTAGCCCACAGAATTGCAGAAACAAGCTTGAAAATGTGGCCCAAGTGCACCTTAAAGGCTCAAACTAGAATGCAAATAAAAAGAACCCAGCATTTATTACCTCTTGACTTTTAAGGCTATTTTATGATTCTTTTTGAATGCTTGGGGCTGGCCGTACTGGGTTTGCAATACGGAATTTGGCTAACACACATGATTTGCTTTTCTCTTTCTATTTCATCCAGAGCACCCATGGGATTTAAAAGGGTAGTGCTTCCATCCCTGTTCAGTTAGCAGATCTTTTGGGGGAGGTCATGGCTAGCTAGTATTCTACAGTGGAGCCCTACTGACCATTTCTCCCTAACTTGGAGCCCAGCTTTAAGTAAGGTTTCTGGAGGGAGAGGGACTGTTACATGGCTTCTCTATACCCTCGACCTATGGAATGTAGGGCTCCGTGGAAATGTATATGCCCATTAACTGCCAACTACTGCTCAAAGGTTCCGTGGCTCGGTACATGACTCCTACAAGGTGTTGATATGGTGGCAATACATTCAGAGAGCAAGAATTACCTTTCGGATAGCCTTTTTTCTCAGTTTCCCTCCTGTTCCAGAATAAATTTAGGTGCCAAAGCCACTATGCAGACTTTAATCTGGTTAGCATGGCTCTCTCTGGTACTCTACTGTGTCATACACTGGAATGGTCCTTGCATGTACAGTAGCTGCTACTCCTGTGCAAAGCTCTTTAGAGGAAAGCAGTCCAGTAGGATTAGAGTAATAACAGATTACCATTTAAAGGTGGTAATCCTTAGAGTACATCTGGTATTCTGTAATAAAAACAGACCTCCCCCTTTCCCCCCACCACAGTCTTCAGATCTGAGCATCTAAAGCCAGGCTCCTAAATAAAGGAACCTGGCTACGGAAGTTTGGCATACCTACAAATCCCACTGAAGCCAAATGGGGGTTGGAGGGGCTCAACATCTCTGAAAAGCTCTTATTTGAGTCACTGCAACTGCAGTTCTTATTGACATGGTGGGGTTTGTGATTGCTCAACATTCTGAAAATTGGCCCCCTTTTATTTCAGAGCCTAACTTTGGCCTAAGCTTTTTCAAACCTGGGTGCCTAATGTATTGCTCAAAGATGTACTTAATACAGTGTATGCTCATCGGGGGTTGCAAGCTCTTAGCTCAGGTTCATGGAATGAATAGACAAACTACTTGCCCAGTTCAAAACCTTCACTATGACCTGGGCTAAACTCTGACCCACTTGTGCAGTTCATGGGCATACTCAGTAGAATTATAAGAAACCTCTAATAGCTTTCATCTACAGGCTTGCTCTTGACTATTGGCAGTCCAGGAAGACTGATCTGACCCTTATAAAAGGCTTTTATTAGCTTTTCAATACAAAACCCAGTTTTTTTCTGAAAACTCTACTCTTAAAATGACAGGTTTCAGAGTAGCAGCCGTGTTAGTCTGTATCCGCAAAAAGGAGTACTTCTGGCACCTTAGAGACTAACAAATTTATTTGAGCTGAGCTTATGCTCAAATAAATTTGTTAGTCTCTAAGGTGCCACAAATACTCCTTTTCTTTTTACTCTTAAAATGATCTCTTGAGACATTTGGCATAGCATTAGTATACATATGCAAAAACCGTTTTAACAATCTTAATATCAAATTATAAAAGACTGTTTTTGAACTCTTAATGCCCTTCTTGTTTTCTTCAACAAGCTAAGGTAACAAGTGTTGGGCTGCATTTAATGTTGGTAGTTCTCAGCATGAATAAATTGAACTGTAGCTCGGAGCTTATAATTACAGTTGGCATTTCAGCAGAATTGCTCAGGCTGGCCATTTTGCAGATGAATGTTTGACACTCACAATATGAGATTATTCAAGACTGATCCTGTCTTATTAAACTGGAAGATAATTAATTCTCCGTGTGGCACAAATGTCCGTCATTACAGCAAGATGGCAGTAAGCAGAATTTCCTAAATGCCAGTTGTAATGGCAAGCTTTGTTTCAACTAATGTTCAATTTATTGATGCAAGTGCTTGCGGTCTGCAGTGCTAAGGAAAATGTGTGGCTTTGTTCTAAAAATATGAATCTCGCTTTTTCTGTTTGTAACTAAATCTCTTCCTACAGGTTAAATCTGTACTTTATTTCAGGGTACCACCATAGTCAGACGCTTCTCTGGCTCTGAAAATGCTTTCTCTCCCTCTGGAAAGAATATATTCCCTAGCTGTATGGTCAATGTAACATCCAAGCAAGGGTTTGCTATATATGTAGATGAACCAGAGCAAAAAGACAGATGCAGCTGCACAGTTGTAGAAGAGGTGGAACCTAGCCAGTGTGAAGTGGATACTAGCACAATGAAACCCAATATTCATCTGTTGTTGGATTTGAGTACAGGTAACTGTCACTGCTCAAAACCTTGCTTGTAACATTAATCTCATACATGAAGTGGCTTACTTTTTTAACAAAAGTAAACTTGTCTACATTATCTGTAGATTACTTGTTCATATAAATGTGATTCAATCTTGTACTGCAAGCAAATTGGCAGGATAAGTTAAGTCTTGTTGGATGCCTTATGTAATAAGAATCCTGATTATGCAGGTTCTCCTATGTTGGTGGATACATCATTCCAGTCACAACATGAAGTTCATATGGATAACAATGTGGATATAATGAGTGTGGGAGACTATGCAGAAGACATTCATCAGTACCTTAGAGAAGCTGAAGTGAGTGGCTTTCACAAGCCTATGTCAGCGTTTCCTTGACCCTACATGTACTGGCAACACTTAGGTCTTAGATGTAGATTGCCACTCTTAAAACATTGCTGCATGACACAACTTTCAGATTCTCGGGTTGTCATTTAGCATCTCTTTACTACCTGCATTCTCTTTAACAAAGCATTCTCCGTAAGCTCCTTGTGTTGCTGGCCAAGGTCAGAGCAGGAGGTAGTGAGAAGATTCTTCTAAGATGCAGGACAGCTTTGGACTCTAGCTCCTCTCTCAGATGGAATGTGTAACTGAGCTTTGCTGGGGTGAGGAGGCTTGCAACAGCTCTTGAGAACCTATTTATCAAGTTGCGAGTAAGAGAATGTGGTAAAGGGCTGTAGCAATCTGAGGAGGCGGTGGTTACCTGGGGCTCCTAACCCCCACCAGAGTAGTACTTTTACTATACACTAGCTTTTGCACTGTGGTAGGTCTTCCTCAATTACAGCTATCAAACTTCATGATTTTTGTTGCTGAATTCAGTACAGCTCTCCACTCATTGATGGTGGGAATCAGTAATGGCCTTAATATATTTTCCATCAATGAAAATAATTACTTACACTATGGATATGGCAAAGGTGGTTGTTCTTATAATGTCTTAATTATTGAACCTCAAATCTTTCTAAACAGATAAGATACAGGCCAAAACCATATTACATGCGAAAGCAGCCAGACATCACATCAGGGATGCGTGCAATCTTGGTGGACTGGCTGGTGGAAGTTGGGCAAGAATACAAACTTCGTACTGAAACACTGTACCTAGCAGTCAACTTTCTGGACAGGTTTCTTTCCTGCATGTCTGTCCTCAGAGGGAAGCTGCAGCTTGTGGGAACAGCAGCAATTCTTCTGGCTGCGTAAGTGTTCTTTATGTTGCCTACTAAAGTCTTGACAGACCCAAACTTGTGGGAAAAGACCTCTTGGACTCATTTAGAAGTTGAAATTAAAATCTATTCTGAAGAGCTGTGCTGGTTCTGACAACACAAACCTTGTGGTAGTAAGAATTTGTCTTCAAACTTGCATTCTATCCTTCTACTTAATTCACCAACTCTTCTTACTGATTTTTGATTTTGAACATGGACTAAACCAAAACTTTTGTCTGGAGCGTATTGTATCACTGAGACTTTTGGCTCTTAAAGCTTAAGCTGCTTAACTTCAACGTGAATTCTGTTTAAAAAATGGTACAAGATGACATCCTGCATAATATAGCTCTTAAGGAGGCAGTCTAATGTCTGTAAGTGCTGCCCTGTTGTATAGTGAATCTAAAAAGGACTTGTAGGTAAAAGCTGAATGTATTAAGCTTGTCAAAAGGTACCATGTGTGTTACAGAATATGCCTAAGTAGGGGCTGAAGTCTATGAATCTTGTTGAATGAAGGTGGACCCACATGCTCATCCCAGCAATGACTCCGACAAGCCTTTCTTTCTGATTGCAACTTCAAACCTCATAGACTTAATGGACTTTTTGCACTGCTTTTTAGGAAATATGAAGAGATCTACCCTCCAGAGGTAGAGGAGTTTGTGTATATAACAGATGATACTTACACAAAGAGACAGTTATTAAGAATGGAACACCTGCTCCTGAAAGTACTGGCTTTTGACTTGACGGTACCAACTATCAACCAGTTTCTCCTTCAGTATTTACAGAGACATGGAGTCTGTGTCAGGACAGAGAACTTTGCAAGGGTACGTGTTACGCTCCTTTAAGGGCTGTGGGAGGGCAGTGATTGATAAACCAGGAACATTGGGGGGTGGAGGAGTGGGAACTTTCAGACTTGGCTTACTCTCAGGAGCATCCTCTTGAGTGGAAAACACCTGTCATAGGGAACATGCTGAGGGTGCCTGCCTGTCAGTCAAACATGACTGACACACACCCTGATAAACCAGTACCCTAACTGGAGATTATATGGTGCACAGCACATTCAATTTAAACCTACTAGAAAATCTATCACACTTCTTGCTTTCCAAAACTACAGCTTTATGCTGTCAGTCTGTACTGATAAAACATGTATAGTGGTAGAGCCCAGAGGCCCCAACAAAGATCAGGGCCCTGCCATGCTAACCACTGACTGTACCAATATAATATAGCACTACAGGACATACATTTTCACTATCAAAGGACAAAGGGTAAGAAAGCAAGTCTTATTCCCACTGTCAGATAGTTTGCGTGCCTCAGCTCCCTAACTTGCCTGGGGCCATGTAAGAAGCCTATGATAGAGCCGAAAACAAACCCAGGCCTCCTGAGTCCCATTCCAGTTCCTTGACCACAAGACTACCCAGCCTTCACTCAGCTAACTGGTATCTCTCTAAAAGGTGACTTCTGACCCCATTAAAGATTATTGTAGAACTCCTGTTGACTCCAGTAAGGGCAGGATTTCACCCTAACTTTCTCAACAGAGAAAGCAACTTTCTCAACAGAGTATATAATCCACTGTTCTCCAAAACTGTGGTGCTGGAAAGATAACCAATGCTTGTTTGGAGCACACTGAATTGATCCCACCTTATACACAGAGGTCTATTTGAAAGTAACTTTTGCAAACTTCTTTTGCCTAGTATGTAGCAGAGTTGAGTCTCTTGGAAGCTGATCCATTTCTGAAGTACCTTCCTTCACAAACTGCTGCAGCAGCTTACTGTCTAGCAAACTACACTGTGAACAGGCATTTCTGGGTAAGCTCTTAATTCTCTGAGGTGCTGTGTAACAGGGGGTTTCTTACCTCTACAGGTTCAGACTTAAAAGTGGAAAGAATTTCCACTCCAGATAGTATGAACTAGCAGATCTCTTGGGAGGGTTCTAGTTCAACTAAACAGGCTTTTCCACTGGCATACAGTTGATATCTAGCTAGTTAAAGATTTGCTCCTCTTTTCCATCTAGAACTTCTGCACAGGCAGGAACAATACTCTACTTTGGTCACTGGCTGAGACTAACCTGATATGGTACACAGTCCTAATGAGATTAGTCATTAACCATCTTGTCAATGTATTGATCCACCCTATAAAAAACTGATAGACTGGCCTCTATGCAACTGTTTGTGTTTGGGGGAGGGGGAGATTAGAATCTTAGTGCACATGGTTTTATCCAAATACTAATCTAATTGGTATCTGCCTCTGTGCTGTAGGAACAATTTCATTTGGTGGTAATGGTAGGGGAAACTCTTTAGAACTGGTGAAAGACACCAGCAAGTATTCTGTCTGCATCAGAAGGAGCTTCTTGTCAGCCTTCTCTGCTGTAGTAAAGACCTAAAGTGGACATTGATAGTAGGATGCATCTGGGGTATTGAGAGTGCTCAGATCCTCTATGGTGACTGCTATGGGATCTCACTTCAGCAGCAAAACAGATGCATCTGTTCATCTAAGTAGTCAGCAGAAATGTGACCTTGCTTCTTGACAGAGGGCCTCTATCAAAATCTGGAAGACACAATACCTAAACAAATGCAATAATGTACCATAATTCTTTTCTCTACTGTTCAGCCAGAAACACTTGCTGCATTCACTGGGTATTCACTAAGCGAGCTAGTGCCTTGTCTGAGTGATCTACATAAAGCATGCCTTGATGCTTCTCATCGACCACAGCAAGCAATTAGAGAGAAGTACAAGCTGTCAAAGTAAGTTCCTAAGACACTAAATGCTTTCTGTTTGGCTCCAAATGACAGCAGGCATTAAAATTTGCCAAATCTCTTCAACTGATGCAAATCATGCTGTTCTGATCAATGGAGATATGCTATGGGAGGTCCTATGTGCAAGCTATTTAATCAAAAGTTTCTGCATAACTGGTAGTCCTACTTTGTGGGAGCTACTAGATAGTGGCTGGTACTAACTACAAACATCTTGAAGGTTGAGGTGATCTTAAAAGTAAGAACTGCTCTTCTTATAAGAGCAATCTTACAATCTAGGCATAGCCATAACTTTGTTTCAGATTTGCATGATGCTGAAGCACTCAGGTGCTGAAACCCAAATCATTCTTGTACCTCAGTAAGGTTTCCTATTCACAAGATGTCCGTTAAATAACTTGTAACTAGCTGCCTGTTTCTATTGTAGGTACATGCACGTATCCTTTATGGAGACACCAGCAGTTCTTCCTCTGCAATAAATGCCAGTGAACGAACACACTGACTAAAATCGAAGCACTTGCCTCCTGATCAACAGAGTTGGTCTTACATTTTTATAGGGCACTGCAGGTCATGTGTCAATAACCATGATGCTTATTGTTTTAGCTGACATTTTTAAATGATTTTTTTACAAGGACTGTAGTCTAGTTTTAATGTAAACTAAAAGCACTTTTAATAAATATCTTGCCTTATGAATATGTCTCTAGCTTCACTTGTCCAAGCTTCAACTTACTAAGATTTGTGGTGGATTCTCTATCTTTGGCACCTTTTTAAATCAATATTGGGTGAGTTTCGGTTTGAACTGGAGCATCTTAGGGGGGAAACCTCAGAAGTCCTATGGCCTGTGTTCAGCAGGAGGTCAGACTAGATGATCACAATAGTCCTTATGGCCTTATAACCTCTAAATCTTATCTAGGTCTCAAAATGGGTTGTGAATCAAAAGGAGAAACTGTTGACTCTTACCATAAATTGACTGCAAGATCTGCGGGGCAGGTATTGTATTAATCACTCATTTGAGTCTTGTTTCAAACAATAGACAGGAAGGCAAAGGCAACACAGATCACCTACCTATGAAAGTTAGCTATTGCACACCATCTTGAAAGTAATTCATTTCAAGTACTGCACCATCAAATCATCAGTGGTTGGCTAGCTTTTTTTAGGTGAGATCACAGCAGAAGTGGTCTTAAGGGAATTGGAGAAAGCCCTAGGGATAAGTTCAGTGTTGGTGTTCCCATGTAGAATGTGTAGGCATGTATTGGGGAGGAAAACATGCAATCCTTGAATACTTAATTGGCAGAGGAAAGAAAGGGTACAGCAGATCAGTAGTGAGAGGTGGAATTGTGGGGGCTTTATAAGCAAAGATGAAACTTGATGGTATGGTGTGGGGAGGAGAGGCAATGCAGAGAATTGAAGGGGAAGTGATGTGATATTCATGGGCCCTTAGATGTGTCTAAAGTTAGGGGACCTGTAGATATTTGAGGCCAAACACGTGGACACTGCAGAAATCAAAATGCAAGATAAGGGCTAGGAGTGCTAGCTGTGTGGAAAGAAAGTCTGACTCTCTATTGGGAGCTGCAGCAGGGATTGGACACTACTGGAGAGTTGGGGGGAGGGGGAGGAAGAAATGACAAGGAAGTCAAAGATGCCTCTCCATCCCCAGCTGTGTGCCGGAATGACTTGTTAACAGTGACAGAACTTGAGCAAAAAGAGGAGTTTGGGTCGTATTAAGCTCTTAAAGTTCTGTGAAGATATTTAATTCAGCCAGTCTGACTAGACTGAGACAAGTCAGGAGTGGAGAGGTTGTAGAAAAATATTTGAATCTGAAAGTAGCTGATGACAGGAATGAATTTTTTTTATAATGGAGTGCTTGCGGGGGCAGGCAATAGGGATATTTTACCTGGTCTTTCTGAAGAAACAGATACAGACAGCCTTAAAGGATAAGACTTCAGTGGAGAGCAGATTAAAGCAGCAGTGAGGATGAATTTGGGGCAGGCCTGAGATTCTACCTTGAAGTAGAATCCATGGTGAAAGCAGAGTAGAGCTTGCAGAAGACCAACCAGAAAGAATTCAGGATGAAGTTAGAGGACATTAGATACTGAGGCCTTGGGTACCTCTATGCTATAGGAATTAGAGGATATCTCTCTATTCCAGTGTAGGATTCTTAAATACTGCACACAGTCTAGTACTCTGATCTCTCAATATGCCACACAAGATTCCCCTTCACTTAAGACTAGGCTCAGGGAAACTTTCTTAAATTCTTTCATACTTGATTTCATCCCATTTCTAACATTCCCATCTTACCCTTGTAATCTAAACTCTGCTTCTTAGGGTTCATAACACCACAAAAGACTCATTGGGGCAGGAGCCCTCTTGATCTTCCCTTACCCAAGTTGTATCTTTTCAAAGAAAGCTTGAAACAAATCTGACTTCCCCCTTGTCCTAAAGTCCTTCCAGTCTGTTAACATATTAACAGACACAATGTGGTCAGTAGATTGTGTATAAATATTGCGGTCATGCCAGACCTTGCACTACTACCTCATCTAATCTGAAAAGATGCTTTGGTATCTAAAACGATCTTCCTCTTTTTGCCACCGGACATTTCACAAATCTTCCCCAAGAGACTTTCCCTTGCTTCCAATGCATATTGCAAACTGCTTCTTTAGAACTAAAAGTTGTAATGTGCATTTGAATAGCCAACACTATCTACTGCCATCTGTCTCAATCCCTTGTGTTTTTTGTCCTTAATGGTGTGTAAAACAGCACCTATAGGTTGTCCTTAACATCCTGTCTAAACCTTCTTGAGATGTCTCCTTGTATTAAGTTTTAGTCCTCCTGCTGACCTGCAGCTCTCCCAGGACCTAAACATACTGGCCTTGTTTTCAGCCCTCAGCATGTTGACTGAAAAGACCCTGTCTGTATCAACCCAGTGCAAATAAACTTAGAGTAGAATTTATTGAGCCACTGGAGCAAGTGCTCTAGTAAACATTACATCTATAGAGTTACCTTAAACTGGCACTTGCAAAAATGAAATCCAATTTATGGGGTTATTTAGATCTAGTAAATGGTCTAATGTGAGGGTATGACTTTCTTTTTCTTAACTCATTTATATTAAAGTGAGGTGCAGAAATAGACAAAACCTCCGGTTATTTAAGAGTTATTTATTTAGCAATTTCTGGGGACCTCTTACAGATCTGTCTCTTATCCCTGGTTCCAATGTACACCCTTTCTTTTTAAGTTCATCCTATAGCTGCTGCTTATAATGGATTGTTCCTTGAGTCCCTCAAAATATAATTAACATCTATGGGGCTGTATTCTTGTTTGACCCCATAATCGGTATGGAGAGGCACTTTACATTCTGCATATGGTATAGTTAAAGATTTATAAGCTGACCCTGCAATCAACCCAAGGAATATAAAGAGTCTAGGGACCGTTTTCCCTAACGAGCTACAGAGTTGCTCAGCAGGGAGGAGGTAGAGGTCTGTGCCCCTCCTGGGGAACAGGGGTACTAAAATCAGGGGCTGTGCTCAGATTTTAGGATTAGAGTTCAAGAAATCTGTCTTGAACTCAAATCTGAGAAGCCATTAATCTGAGAGGGGTACTTGCTTTGGCAAGTTTAGAAAATCCTGTTGAGTGGTAACCAGACTTGCTGTCCATATCATGCACTGTGCACTAGAAAATATTTCCCAACACTGATTTGAATACAAAGCAGCTGTTAAAATAGCTACTGTACCACATCACTGCAAATAATGGCTCTTGCTTTCTCAGAGTTAGAGGGGGGAAAAACTGCAAGCCCATTCTATGAAGTGCATGATATGGAACGCGAATATCTTTCCATAATGTTTCTTCAGAGAGAGAGGATGGCTTTGTGGTAAAAGTGCAGGCTAAGAGAAGCTGTGCCAGACTTGCAGTCACTTTGTGTGTTACATAACCTTTCTGCTGCAGTTGCCTCCTCTTTAAAATGGAAATCTATATACTTTATAGGAATGACAAAAGGATTGCTATGCAAATATTTGTGAAGCACTTTGATATCCTAGGATGCAAGGCACTAGAAAAGTCCAAAGTATTATTTCTACCCTAAGCCCTACTTGACGCTCTTGTCTGACAGGAAAACCTTGCAGGGGAAAGGGTAGTGAAAGGCTGAATAGAAAACATGCATATGCTCTAGGAGACACTCTGACTCAGGTCAGAAGACTCATGTAACAACGCACTATCGAAAATCTGAACTGTTAGGTGGTTGACATGCAAACTGTCACTAAACTTAATTTGCTGTAAACGGGTAAACAAAAACTTATTACTTATCAGTCTCCTCTGATTCCACCAAAATGAAGTTGATTTTGAGATATGAGTGCCCAAAAGGCTGAAACGGTTTTGTTTGTGTATAATTTTGATTATAGCAGCATAAGCCTGACCCTGCAGCAGGGATTTCCTCACCCACCCACCCCATGTGGGGTGTTTACTCCCCCCTCCCCTGAGTTTTGTGAACTAATTACATGCACTGTTGCCAATTTAGTGATTATTTGGACATTTGAATTGAAATTGAAACATTAATACACACTTTAAAAGCATAACCTCTATCTGAAAAAGTATAATAGATTTGAAAAGTATGAACGTAAGACTAGCTTCCTTATACAGCTGTTGTTTTTTATGACCATGTCAGAGCATTCGTTTCAGTGATGTTGGCCAACCTAATAATTTCAAATGATGATTTATAAGCAAAGTCTAAATGAGCTCTTCCTGACAGCTAGTGATGAGCTGTGGGGAAAGGCTTCAGGACCAGATTGTATTTACATTCACACCTAATCTACCTAAGTATCCAGCAAATAGAGTTGTGTTGCCCAAGTGATAGATTTTGGCTGGGGTTGGGTTACAAATCACTTGAATGCGGGGGGTAAAGAAATGTTGTTGCATTAAGCCCTTGAAAAACAATGGTTTATAATATAAATGTGAGGTGAACTGTAAGTACTGTGTATATCACTACTGCAATAGTTTACTATAGTAGTAAAAATAAAGGAGTTTTAGGCCTCAGACAATAGGCTTAGAGTAATCCTAGAATATCAGGGTTGGAAGGGACCTCAGGAGGTCATCTAGTCCAACCTCCTGCTCAAAGCAGGAAAATTTTATATAGGAAAAATTTAGTATTAATTGAAATAATCTGAAACACAATTTCCAGTATACTGTATTCATGTAACCAGTATATCAAGTGTATCTAAATGGTCTAAAGTGAATCATTATTTTAATGTTAGATTTGTGGAGTAAGCTTTTTAAAGGAATTGATTCCAAGGTCAGAAGAGACTATTGTCATCATCTAGATGGATTTCTTGTCCAGCCCAGGCCATTTAACTTTGACAAAATAATTCCTAGAGCATATCTTTTAGAAAAACATCCAGTCTTGATTTTAAACATTTTGGTGATCGGGAATCCACCACAACCCTTGATAAATTGTTCCAATGTTTAATTACTCTCACTGTTAATCTGTATCTTATTTCCTGTCTGAATTTGTCTAGCTTCAACTTTCAACCATTGGATCATGTTATTACCTTTCTCCGCTAGATTGAAGAGCCCACTGTTGTATATTTATTCACCATGTAGTTATTTACAGACTGTAATTGGGTCACCCTTTACAAGCAGCTAGTATGCCCAAAGTTTTTTGTGTTTCTTCAAAGCATTGCAACTGAACTGGTGGTTTTAAAATAAATGTTTTCAGTCTAAAAGAAGGTGGGGAAACCCAAGTAGTTAAGGTTAGGAATCATACAGTGCAAATGCTGACAGTGGGTTTGAACAAGGAACATTAAATGGGTTTATATGGGAAACTGATCTGTGAAGTGGTCCCAGAGGCGATTCTTCTGGGTGGTAGTGGCTGCCAGAGTGTTGCAGTTCAACCCTCTGCATTGGGTATGTATTACTTGGAGCAAGAAAGAACTTATTTACTTTGTACAAGTGAATTTGAACCTTGCTTTTGGAGAAAAACTGGGTTCTATACACTAACCAAGTGATAACTTACCCAGACCTAAATCCCCTCTGGGTTCTGTTGCTGTCCCATGCCTTTTGTATATGAAAGGGAAAATGTGCATCTACCTTGTTACATGGAATATGCTGACCTGGTTTAAATAACACCTAGTTCTCAGATATACATAGATACGAAAGCAACTTACACAATTTAAAACACAAACAAAAGGATAAAAATCCAAATCAGAAAGGCATGCTCTGGCCCAGAGATCCCTTGGTGCCAACTGGCAGAGAGCACATGGGCTGCCTAGAGTTTTAGAGGGATCCCCTGGGTTGGATAGTTGCATAATAGTTCACCAGTGGGTGGCATGTGAGGTCTCTACTGAGAGCCAGTAGCCCACTAGTCGTCATAATTGCAAAAAGTACGTATGGATAATATTTAAGGGGTTATGTGTATCTACTAAAATTATGTTTTGAAGATCTTGGAGTTAAGGCAGGTCACCAGGAGGTCACATACCTTGGAGATGTTCCTTTCAGGTAGAGAGTAACTGACGCTTATTGTAGAGAGACATATACTGTGTGGCATACAATTTACATACTGAGCCAGGTGCAAATTCAGAGATTGCAAAATAGACGAGAGAGGAAATCTACAGGAAAAACAAATAGCAGAGGGGTGTCCAGTTTGTGAATAAAGACAAAGGATTGGTTTGATATACCTTAGAGTGCAAAGAGACACACTGTAGCAGGCAAACTGACAGCATGCATGTCTCGTGGAAGAAGGGTCACAGCCAGCCTGGATGTAAAGAGGTGCAAGGATTTTGGATGAGTATTACTCTGCTAGTCACAAGAGTATCTTGTTAATTAAGGCTAGGTTCCAGAAGGTGTGTTATGATTTTATTTTGTATGTAACTCTTTGTTTCCAATATTTCAACTTGCTACTACTTGAATCTCTCTGCTTTGTTAAATTTTGTTTCACTATAAACATATCTAAGTGTTGTGAGTTAAGTGGAGTGGTGATTGGAGGGGAACTGGTAGAGCTGTGGTGTACTGCTTCTTTGGAAGCAGCAGATTGGTGAATACTGTAAGTGTCCAGTGGACCAGGGGTTGGAGACTCTAGTGATGTTGGAGGGCTTGGAGTTTGGAGTGTGCTTGTTGCTAACCTGCAGAGTGACAGCAGGGCCTGCAAGGCATAGAGGGAAGTACTTGTGTTCATAGGCGCTGAATCCATGGGTGCTCAGGGGCTGGAGCACCTATGGGAAAAAATAGATGCTCAGCACCCACTGGCAACCCCATAGATCAGCTCCTACCCCTCCTCCAAGCCCTCCTGCTGGTGGGCTCCACCTGCTACTACCAGCTGTTTAGTGGCGTGCTGGGGGATGGGTGACAAGTGGGGACAGGAAGAGGCGGGGGAGGGTGTGGAACAGGTGGCAAGGTGCAGAACAAAATGGGAAGGGGAGGGGCAGGAAGGGGTAGGGGCTTGGGGGAATGGGTGGAGTGGGGGCAAGGCCTGAGGCAGAGTGGGAGTTTATCACCCCCAGGAAGTTGATGCCTCTGCTTGTGTTGCCAGTGGAGTTGAGGAGTTGACCCATGGCAAGCACAGACAAGAGTTCCTCATGCTAAAAGCAGGTGGTAATGAGGTACCACACAACCCTGTGTACCCTCAAGAAGTGTCACACTTACCGCATTATATCAACCCTCTTTATGTTTGAAAATGTATATCCTGGAGTTTGTCAATACCATAACTGGGAGGTAAAATTCCCTTCTGGGGATTTGTTTGATAGATGTATTGGCTACTCTTTCTTAATATTTCTGTATGGAATCTTTGTTACTGAGTTGCCAATGGAGAGGGAGGGGTTCATGTGACCATCTCTCTACTCAGATGTGGTCCACACTGTGAAAAAGTTTGAGAATTCTTGCTTTATATCCCCAGTCACATACACACAATGCATCCAGGTGGGGGTTTTTGTTTGGTCTCCTTCCTCTGAAGCATCATAGATGGCCATGGGCATGGGCTAGGCCTGGCTCTGCACCTTCAACACCCTGCCCTTGGCCAGAGGAGCCCTGAGCCAGCCGGAGCTATGGGACCCCCCCCCCACGCGCATGCACCCAAAGGAGCCCTGGGACCCACCCCCTCAGCCAGAGGAGTTCAGAGCCCCAAGACACCCCGCTCCACCCGGAGGAGCTCTGGCTCACCCTCCTCAGCTGGAGGAGCCCTGAGCCCCCTTCTGCCCCCATGGTCAGAGCCCTGAGACACCCTCCCCACCCCTCTCAGCTGGAGAAATCCAGAGCCGGCCAAAGCCTAGAGCCTCTCCCCTTCTCCCCCCCCCCACACACCTGCCCAGAAGAGCCCCCAGCCAGCCGAAGCCCTGAGCTCCCCTGCCCGGAGTCCCAGGCCAGCTGTAGCTGTGCTGTGCTGTGTCACACCTCCCCTCCCCAGACCTCAAGCCACCCAGAGAAAAGCATGTGTCTCTTCTCCAGAAGATGCTTTTGCTATGCCCCATGCAGGTTCTGGGGTGGCAGAGGATTCCCTAGCACATACTGCCTCCTCCGCTGCCCTGGAACCTGCATGGCACATAATAAATCAAAAACTTCCTCCCAAAACCCTGCAACCGGGGGTCCGGTGGCCGCGGCAGTGCCATGGGAGACTGAGCCTCTCCGTGCCTATTACACCCGCTGCCCATGGCCATGGGACATTGGACAGGGTGGGCCAGTGGTCTGAGATGGTACTGAGAATTCTGTCAGGTGCTTGGCTGGCTGGCTCTTGCTCACGTGGTAACTGATCATATGTTGAGTTGTGAAGGAATTTTGCCCCAGGTCAGATTGTCAGTGATCTTGGGTTGTTGGATTTTTGGCCTATCTCTGCAACATTGGCCGCAGTTATCTGCTGCGATCATCTGGGTATAGCTCACTAAATCAATTCCTTGCTACTGCAGGGGCCTCAGGAATCGAAGCCCCTTGATCCCTGTTCTCTGCCTGTGGCATACAGTACTTTAGTCTCCTGTGCGTTGCAGTACTTTAATCTAATTCCAGGTGTTGGGTTAATGGGTGGGGGGCTGAGTGTTGGTAGCCTGTGATATTAGGGAGGTCAGACTAGATGATTTTGTGATTGTTCTCGCCTTGAACTTTGTGACTCTGGGACTCTTCTAAAATGGACAAATAGTGCTAAAAATAAACATTGGGTGTTTGCTCTGTAGGAAGAGATTGTCCTGATAATCATAACTTTGTTTCTTTGGAGGGGGTGGGTTGTGCAGTTGCATTTGAGTGGGTAATAATAATTGAATTATTCTAGAGAAGTAGTTGCAGTGTATTGGGATTGTTGAGCTGCTAATTCATGATTGAAGGACATATTCTGACCTGCCTGCCTTTCAGGGAAATGTGACAGTTTGATTAGTGAGTCTGTAGATATTCCTTCTTGTTGTCATATTTATAAATGAGTATTCCTGAGCCATGGAACCTTTACTAAGGAGTAAACTGTTGGGGGAGGGGCATACACATCATCTACCCTTGTATGTTCTTGAATCTATGGGTTTGAAACACTCCACTTTCAAACTCTTTCTCAGCATGTCAAAGTGGATGCAGAACCTCCGTTCTTCTTTTGTATCAGGCAAAGTTAGTAGGAATTGTTATATTTTATTGACTAGTAGTAGTGCTCTCATTGACCCATTGCTGAGTTATTTAACATCTTTTTTTTTTTTTAGGGCCTTGCCATCCTCTCTCACTTTCAAAGCTCTCTCCTTTTTGTTTTATGGGCAGTTTGAGCCTTATTCTTGCCTTCTAATGGCAGACAATCTGGAGAAGCTTCCACGCATGAAAAATACAACACCTGTAACAGTAAGATGTCTGTGACATACACCCACTGCAATTGTCATAAATGTCTGGGTAAAAGGCATTTGCTTTCCTGTGGCTATCTCTAGTACAGACACAACACTTAACCTGTCGGCTCAAAGTTATTTTTGACCAGTGAATCCAAGCTGCCCAAGTCTCTGTCAGCATCAAATATGGAACCAGTTCCTCTGCATCACACTCTGTCAGACTTGAGATAAAGGGAAAAAAAGGACTTGACAGATTGGAGCTCTTTGGTCCCCACAAAGGTGCCAGAATCCGTGGCTCTGTTTTATCTTGGGGTTTTGTACTGCTGCCTATCACCAGGGCATTTTATTGTCTTTGGTGCTGATGGCATTGAATCCCTGGTCATTGGGCAGAATAGGAGTCCTTGGGTCTTTGTTTTGGAGTTCTAAAGAAGAAAAAAATATTTTAGACTTTTTCCAATTCTGTTTCATGTGAAATCAATAGGGTCACACTTAGGGGAGTAATGCCATGGCAAATCAGGTCCATAATCAGATATCAGGTTCTGGCAAGAAATGAGTCTTTCTCCTTCCTCCACCTCCTTCAGCTATTTTCATGGACAGCAAGTATGAAATGGGAAAGACAGGTGCAGGGCCCAATGCTGTATTAAATAGAACATCCATGGCTCATCCAGATGCCTATGTAAGGTAATGAGTCATCACAGAACTAGAGCCTGATTAAACCCCATGTGTTGATGAGTCATTCCTGTGCTAGGCTACAGCAAATCCACAAACCAGGAGCTGGTCTGGTGGCTCTAAGGGCAGGTATACAAGCCTCACAGGAGAAACTGCAACTCAGTCTGCTGAATGTCACTTCATAGCTTGGAAATCTCCCTTGCCTGATAGTGGTAACAGAGTCCATAAGCCTTAGCCTGCTCCAGCCTTCCTCTTGCTCCAGCTCTGTTCCTAGTCCTGCTCCAACCTTGCTCTGACTCTGGCCTTGTTTCAGCCCTGCTCTGGCCTCCTGATTCTGGTTCCGATTAGTAGGCCTGACCATTACCAACATAGTTTCTGACAGCCTAATGCTAATCAATGAACTACCTACAATAAAATCTCACTCTGCCTGATAGCACAGGAAACGGAAGTAAGACAGTGGTAAATCAGACCCAACATTCTTTTCTTGAAAGAAAATAGATGTACAAAGTATCCTGCAATTAACAAAATGGATGACACAACAGAAGAATGTACATCCTGAGAGAACAAATGAGCAACCAGAGCACAGATTCTCTCTCTTGTATAATAAAAGCTGATAATGAGATTAAGATGCTGATGTGGCAAAACAAAACTAACCCTAAATTCCATTTTCATAGCAAGCACCAAGGAAATAATGAACCAACAGCAAACACGATTACATTTTGTCAGCTTTATTTACCTAAGAGGCATACAATCAAGAAATCAATTGTGTTCTTTATAAAGTTTAGTCAATCAAGAATGAAAATGTGGACTTTTTAAAATCCATTGCATCAGTAGACAAAACAACACATTCCCTTATAATAATAATAATTAATAATAGAATAATTATATTATTCCTCTCTTTGCATTTTGGTAGAGCCTAGAGGCTACAATCAGGATACAGTCCTGTTGTAGGTGCTGGGCTTGGAAGGAAACTTATCCAAGGGCTTCACAAAGGGACACTGGATCAGAACTCACAAAGGCCATCCTATTAGTAGATGATTTTTGAATGTTCAGATAGCTACGTACAGTTAATACACTTTAGCCGAGATACTGTCCTTGCAGATTTCTCCAAATATAGTGAATTTCTCCAAATCTAGTGAATATAGTGGGATAGTGAAGACACAATGTTAGGCCATCTTCTGGGATCTCCCAATCGTTAAATGGCAAATCTTCAGGGCCATATAATTTAAGTAAATTAAACTATTCAGGGTTTTTATATTATTTTAATACATTTCAGATTACTCCATTAGTTTATATTTTTAACTTTCTTTGTTACTTTTCATAGCTGTGCAAACCAGGTACTCTGTAGTTGATTCTAAATTTCTCATGCATTAGCTTGAAAGAAAGATGAAAGCTGCTAATCATCAGCTTGTGAAATGCACTAATAAAAATGTATTATATAGGCAAGTTAAAATGTTTTGATAAAGCTGTTTTGATGCAGGAGCAATTTGCTACATTACAGGGGCGAAGGAAAGGCTCTTGTGCTTTGCTGTGCTATGGAACTGGTATAGTTAATCTTTGGGTGGAAGGACAGTCTCCAGAAAGATGTTGGCTCCTTCGGAGGGGAAAGAAATGGAACGTTAAGGATAGCACTGAAGT